TGTAGCATCCGGGTGTTCACTCATGACTTCGTTATCGGCTAGCATTTATTGAATTCTCTTGCTTGCAGAAAGGACGATTCTCCTCAGTTTTTCTCTGTCTTGCACAGGTCAAGGACCAGACTCCACTTAGCCATCTTGGAGTCGGTTGTTATTAATATACAACATTCTGCCCTGTGTCGGCAGAGACAATTACAGTATAAGTTCGCCTTATTTGGTGAGCAGGTCGCCAATTCAGGAAAATGGTGTTTTTTTTCGGGTCCGCTCCCCTAGTTTTGATATATTTTAACACCAATTGTTGAAAATAATTTTTCTTTTCAACCACTGAGTTTTACTTGCCGAGGATATTATTTATTCTGAAGATGTGCCGGCCGAAAAGTACCTAAAATTTTAATCGCTGTGATATTCTGTAGTCTCTTTTTTTTATGAATAAAAATGATCTCATTTTAAAGATCATTTTGTCCTGGTGTGGCAGTAATAATGTGCTTATATATATATATATATATATATATATATATATATATATATATATATATAAGATAATCCTAAGGAGCCAGGCAAACCTACCTAGGTTTCACTTAAACGGATCTTCATGGTAACGCTGGGGCCGAAAAGGAAAATTAAAAATTTTAATTACGTAGTTGTCTTTTTACTCGTTTGGTTTTTTTTTTTACTTGGGACTTTGAGCTTGAACACTAGACAATTGTTTTCGCCTTGTTTTAATGTTCTTGGTTCCCATTTTTCTTCGGTTACCGATTTGTTCTGCTGCAAGTTGAGCTATCCTGGGTTTTTCCAAACGAGTACCACCATATATATATATATATATATATATATATATATATATATATATATATTGCGTATGATTCGGCAGCATGTTTTTATTTAGATATGTCTTATTAAATAATTTAGACATGTTTTGTCTAGTTATTTTTAATAGGATCCTCTTGTAATTGCGGACAAGTTTCTTAGTATCTTTATTAAAGGAAGAAAGACAATTACCATGTTGATGTATATTCCGAGTACTTTCGACATTAGCACAATGGCATCATTAGGCTCATATTTTTCTAAGACAAAATACTAATTAGTAAACGTACGTCATGACAGTCCCTTTGGTAATTATAGAATGTGTCCAAGTTATCATTATTTACTAACACACGTACATGTGCCACGCGGCATGACATGGTGGCAGCGAGACTGGATAACACAATAACCAACCCTACTACCCCACAGTACCAAAAAGAAAAAAACAAAACAAAACAGTGAATACAACAGTAGTAGATTATTTCTTTGACCGTTTACGTTCCATGAATTCTCGCTTGCGATACCCGCTCCTTTCCGCGACGCCGGGCTTACAACACTATAACCGCTACTAACAGGCAGATGCCATTGGCTACAGTGTCGATACCTGTACCTACTCCTGATTGGGACTCAACAAAGAGTCGTTCAAATTATTTCGACAACGTATAGAGCTCTACTTCACCGTTAAGGCAACACAACATGAAGACATTGCTGAACCCGGCGAAGAAGGACTACGCAGATACAAGAGTTGGTCGATGACAGAAGATGACCGCGAGGACTCACAAAAAAATATTCCCTGCTTTCATGGAGCAGCTCAAACCGGCAACCAACCATCGTGTCTGTAGGTCTGAACTTAGCAAATATCAACAAAAGCCAGCAGAATCAACGAACAGCTTCATTAACGCATGTCGACTGTTAGCAAAGAAATGCGACTTCACAGCCGACGAAGTAAACAAACGCTTGGTTGGGTTACTAATCGCTAGCACACCCATACCGGAACTACAAAAGAAGCTTCCGAAGTAAAAAGGTATACAAAATTGAAACGGCGGTTAAATTAGGCCATACACGTGAACCATTAGCAATATATGACAACCAACTTCACCAAATATAGGGCTCATCATCATCATCATCATCATCATCACAGATAGCCACCATAAATCGTGGTACTCATGCACATCAAGGAGGTGAAAGAAAATACTGACAGGCATGCTAAAATTGTGAACGTAACCACTATTTTGCCAAGAACGGCACATGCAACATATCTGGCAAAGTAGGCCACTGGGCTATGGTCTGCATCTCAGCAAAACACAAGACCAAGAGACGGCAAGGGAAATCCTGGTCTAACGGTCGTAACCAGTCGAGACACCGATAACATGAGCTTATATATATATATATATATATATATATATATATATATATATATATATAGCTCTTGAAAATATATTTTCAATTGAGCACTGTTGAATGACAAGCAAATTCTAAAAACAAAAGCCACCTGCGTTAACGCGAAGCTCTTCAGTAAAATGAATAGAGCACTCCGACTGTTTGACATTTGTAAAAACAATACGCTAGATTTAGCTGACTCATTCTGTCGAGAAACCCTGATTGACACCAAATTGGCTTCAGGCATTCGGATGTCTAGTCGCACTGAAGTGCTGTGATACAGCGAAGCAGTACTGTCTGCGATGGGAGATTATATATATATATATATATATATATATATATATATATATATAGATAGATAGATAGATAGATAGATATAAAGACATGTCACATTGCACAAGTTTTGTCTACTTATTTATATTGTATTTATATTTGTCTGTATCTTCTCATATTCACGGACAAACTTCTTAGTATCCTTATTAAAGGAAGTGAGAAAATTACAATGTTGATACATATTCATTTATTTCGAGTATTTTCGACATTAGCACAATGGCATCATCAGGATGTTTTTTTCCCTAAGACAAAATTGTTGTTTCATCTAAACGATAATTTTTTTTTAAATGTGATGGGATAAACGCTGTACGATTTAAATTTCACGATGTTAAGGGATGTAACTTGAATTGGAATGTCCATATGTTGTTAATTCAATGAGACATGTCTTAGTAAAAAACATGCTGTCTATAGTTTTAAGGTAAGTTATATTTATGAATAGAAGTGTTGCATATCAGGAATAGAGCGTGTGCAAATATAAGGGATAACACTGATTTTAAAACCGAGTTGCGACAGTCTAATTCATGTTTCAACACAATTTTCTGGCCATGTATGTTTTGTGGTAGATGGTCAAATGGAATTAGGGTAAGCAAATTCTGGTATTCAACGATAGATAAATACTGGTATTTAAATCTATAAAGGTTTACTTGATAGTTTGATCCGTTTTGGGTAGGTGGCCTTGCCCCAACGGCGCGGATGCTGTTGGCGATGAAATACTCTCTCTCTGTCTCTCACACACGCACACTTATATATATATATATATATATATATATATATATATATATATATATATTAATTTAAAGGAAAAACAGATCACTTTAAGGTTCCATTAGTCATAATTTATTTCACCAAAGATTTTTATTTTTCTCTGTATCTTCTGACTTCACTTTATATATATATATATATAAATCATTTCACTTCAAACATAGCGTTAAAGATGCAAGGGGTTACTGGGAGCAAATGAGAAGGAGAAGACTTTAATGGTGAGAAAGGACAATAAAAGAACAGGTCTCAAGAAAACATAAGATGTTGATTTAAGTTGCATTTAAATTTTTGAAGATTGTAGGTGACAGGGAAACGAGAAAGTGGAAAAATGTTTCATATGTGAGAAGGACGAGAAAAGAACCATGTGGATATTTCAACGTAAAACAATGAGACCTAATTGCCAATCTAGTAGTACGTTTAAATTCACGCGACCGAGGTACCAAGGAGGAGAGCTCATTAGAACAACTGTCATGAAAATATTTTTTTCAGTCATTTCACCCCATGCAAGACAGTAAAGCGACTAAAGTACAAGAGGTTAACTAGTCCGAAAGAATAATAAAAAAAACATAATACTTATTAAGGAGCCAAAAAATAAACGACAGAAATTAAGAAGACAGTACTTAACGATTGACATTGCATTTAAATTTTTGAAGATGAAAATTGTCTGGAAAACATGAAGAGAGTTCCACAAGTGAGAAGTTCGACAGAAGAAACTGTTAGCAGTTATAGAAAATACAAGATGGAAGCCACTTCATGGCGGCTAAAAAGTGATTGAAGTCGAGATATATACCTCACACATATGTACACGGCAGGAAATAATTTAGCAACTGTTGTGGGGTGTTGTCTGCTTGTTGGGAAGCCTATTTTAATATGGTGCTGTTTTAGACAAACTAGGGAGCAAGACATTTCGCTAGCTTGTTAATTCGTCTGTTGTTCTTTCTAAGTAAAACAAAACACCGCACGGCGACCCTCTTGTGTCTTGTGTTGAGATAAGAACAAAGAGAACAAACTGCGATGATAATGAATTTAGGATGTAACGGGGGAGAACAAGTGTGGATCAGATTTTTACCCTCGCACTGCGCAAAAACAAATAGAACGGAATAGGATAAATTGTGAGAAAACGTTATGCGCTTCACATTGTTAGCTTTTATAGTTGAAATTGTTATATATTTTTTTAATCATTACACCACATGCAAGGCAATAAAGCCACTAAGACGCAAGGGGGGTTACTGATTGTGAAGGAATATGAAATAAGAGAAACGTTAACAAGAGGCGAGAAAAATAAAAGAAGAGTAAGAGTAGATAATTTTTGAAGATCAAAGTTGGTTGGAAAGCAAGAAGTTGAAAGAGAGTTCTAGAATGAGAAGTGCAAGGGATGAATCAGTGTAGCGGCATTTCAACGTTATATGACTAAAAGCTCTTTATACCAGCCGCACATCCAAGTTTAAAGCACCTGGTATTCCCAAGCTTTCCCCCATCTAGGCACTGACCAATCTCGACGTTGCTTAACTTCAGTGATCATACGGGAACCGGCGTTTAAAGGTTATATGATTGAAAGGTCTTTATACCAGCCGCACATACAAAGTTTACAGCACCTGGTATTCCCAAGCTTTCCCCCATCTAGGCACTGACCAATCTCGACGTTGCTTAACTTCAGTGATCATACGTGAACGGCGTTTAAAGGTTATATGATTGAAAGGTCTTCATACCAGCCGCACATACAAAGTTTACAGCACCTGGTATTCACAAGCTTTACCCCATCTAGGCACTGACCAATCTCGACGTTGCTTAACTTCAGTGATCATACGGGAACCGGCGTTTAAAGGTTATATGATTGAAAGGTCTTTATACCAGCCGCACATACAGAGTTTACAGCACCTGATATTCACAAGCGTTCACCTGTCTTGACACTGACCAATCTCGACGTTGCTTAACTTCAGTGGTTGTACAGAAACCGTCGTTTCAACGTCAGCTTGCCAAAATTAAGAATAGTTATAATTTTTTAACAGAATGTGTGGTTAGCCTCTCCGAAAGTGAAATCGGTGATCCGTGTTCGAATTTCACTCGAACACGTTGCATTTACTTTTGTAAAATTACCAGTGGGAAAGACATAAATCCATCTCATCTCCCCTCAGCTATGGGTTAAATAGCAGGGTGGACTGAGATACCTTGCCTTGAGATGGCCATCATTGTAAAGAAAAAAAAAGAATTCAACAACCAGCATAAACTAGGGATGGGCTGCATCAGAATATCTTGCCTTAGGGACACCACTGCTGCTATGGCTACAGTACCTACGACCCTAATGCTTTATAGGCCTTATGATGTGACGCGAGGTATAGTGCCTGAACCAGTAAGACAAGCGTATATTTAAATTCAACAAAGATTCCGATATAAGCAATGATACCAGGAACTGCCCGGGCGAAGATCCCTTTAATTTGCTCCCTAACGTTCAGTTGTCGTTCGATTTTGGTGTGGAGAGAGGTAGGAGAGATTTGCATAAATGTTGCAATTTAAGAAAAAAGGTTTAAATATTTTGATACTCCATGAAAATATCAATAAGCCTGTGAGTTTCAGTCGGTGAGGAAAGTGGCTGCAGAGCGGGAAATAAGTCATCATATGGCACTACTGTCTGTGGTAGTACCCTAATCTATGATGGTTCCAGCTTATAATACACCTTCCTCTCTCCGATCCACGGCCGCTAGGGTCTTATCACGTCTGGCCTTCTGGATGGTTGGATCGCTACTTCTTCGTTTCCTGCTGATAGTCGTTTCAGCATTCTTCTATCGGTCTTCCCCAATCCACTTTGCGTTTTAAAGATTCTGGAAAAGATGTACCAGCCAAAGTGTACCAGCTCTCTGTAACAAGATTAAGTCGGATTAGAGTAGTATTATAAATAACATCTCCCAAGTCAACGGTTTTCTTATAAACAATACGAACTTGGTTTCATTTTATCTATGCAGTAGTCACCACTGTTGATGTCGCGAAGTGGTAATATTAGCTAAACAATATGGTACCACACTTTTAGGTAGGTTCACTGTACCTCGGTCTGAGAAAGTAATTATTACTGTGAACCGCTCAGTCAGTTATGTGCCGTACGTGATACACGCTTAGAAGATCATGTATCTTACGATACATGACTGACGAGGCAGATTTTTTTTCCGCAGTGGGTTGCCATTTCTTTCTGCGGTAGACCAGCTGCCATCCAAGGCTACAGAACCCGGTCTGTCCTGCTATTTGCACATAGCATAGAAGAAGAGGATTCATACCTTTACCAAGGGTATTAGCACGTAAGTGAATATAATGGATTCGACTGGAATTCGAACTCAGCTCTCCGATTCCTCAGTCCGAGCCGCTATCTATTACTCCTTCGTGAACCGCTACGTTTCGGTAAACTGACGAAGAATAATCAAGAATCTACAATGGCAGCAAACCGAAGGAAATTAGTTCAGCAGATATACAAAAAACCGAAAGGGGTGTAAGACAAAGATGTATCTTATCACCTGATTTATTCAACCTATCAAGGGTTCTTTATTGGCGGTCACAATCTTAACAGCATATGATATGCAGACGGGACAGTGTTGATAGCAGACATGGGAAGGAAATTCCAAAAGATGGCGAAGGAAAGCGGAAAGAAAGTATAAACGACAAAAAGACAGAATGCATGGTCATCTGGAAAAGGATGAGCCCAAAATGCAAATTGCAAATCCGGGATACAAAAATCAAACCAGTACAAAAATTTAGATATCTGTGAACTGTTTTAACAGAGCACGGCAAGTGCGACACTGAAAATCAGAAGAGGTACTAGGATGGCAAAGATGCATTCCAAAGTCTCAGTAGAGTATTAAAAGACAGAAAAATGTCGTTTGAAACAAAGAAAACTGTGCTGAGCTGTTACGTGATATCTGTCCTCATGTATGGCAGCGAATGCTGGACAATCTGCTCAAAGATAAAGAGATTTGAAGCAACAGAAATGTGGTTCTATAGAAGGATGCAGTGGATACCATAGACCAAACATGTGAGCAACAACGATGTTTCAGAGAAAATGGAATAAAAAAAGAAACTTATAATCAACATCAGGAAGAGACAGTTGAGGTTTCTGATGCATATGATGAGACAGGAGGGCTTGGAAAATCTTATACTCACGGTACAGATTGAGACAAAGAGGGACAGAGGAAAACAAGGCATAACATATTTGGTAAGCTTGAGTAAATGGATGGCAGAACAGGGTCTTTGAGAAATAACAAAACGACAAACCTTATTAAGAAGTACAAGGGGCAGGAAAACGTGGACGGCGATGATCGCCTACATCTTGAAGGTACACAGCATTTAAAAGAAGAAGACTTTGACAACTTCGTGGTGACTTTTCATGGCAAATCTTTCGACGACTGTATTCGATTTGTTGGCAACTGGGCCTTGATTCACTTCAATTCCAACTGACTTAAAATAAATTCTATCACTAACTGGCTGGCGACTGCGGCCAAATAAAGAAATAGAGAGTTTCTCCTACAAAACATAATCCATCCAGACTGGGCAATTCCAATCACATGACCTCCCCTAATTTTGGCATCCACGCAATTTGGGGTTTCCTGTACGCGCACATTTTCCGTGTTCCGTGATTGTGATATTAACAACGATTTTTACCTTTGGAGTTGTCAACAAAAATAACCAATGTTCCAAATCATGGTTACCGTTTTCCAGATTATCTAGGCCTCTAGCCGTAGGAGTTGTTATTTTCTTTTTAACTCTGTTCAAACCATTTAACGTAGTGTCAGCGTCTTCTAAATAGCTGCAGTATTCTCAGGTTCCATATTGCTACAATCAACCAAAAGATCCCGTAATGATTTGGGGCTCAGCAAAAGGAATATGGAAAGTCGCGAATATATGAATTTGGAGATTAGACAAGAAACAGGACCATTGGGAGCACTCATAACCATCGTCAAGAGGAGGAATTTGAAATTGTGATGGGCACGTCATAAGAGCCAGCAATATTTCCACTGCCATTCTACAAGGATACACCTTAGGCAAAAGAAGAAGCAGACAGAGTAAAAAATGGGTTAAGATTATTCACAGAGCTGCAGACATTGGCACGCAACCGAAATATATGGAGGTAGCTGGTCAAGTGCTTAGCTTCGCATCAGCCCTATGGCCACACTCGGTCATGGAACTGTATTAATGTTCTGAATTCTTATAACGATATGATGTTCATATACATCAGTGAGGAAGCAGTCATCATTATTTACTTATTAAACATTATTTACCAACAGTTAAAATGAGCATTGTCTAGTTAAAGCAAAGTTCTTCCATCAGGACTGCTGCTATTTTTCTTGTTAACAGCTAAAGCGGGGTTCTATCCGAAAAACTCAGAATGTGGAAAGATAGGTGGTAAAGTTTTAATGTCCTATCCTTTCCATTCGGCTATACGCAAATTTTTGAACGTAATGGCAATCAGCCAACATCTGCACCGGTCCTCCGTAGATAAAAAGGGTAACAGGTGTTTTCTTTCAAGTTCAAAGTAATTAATCCCACCATGTTCTCAGGATTAATTTAAAAAAAAAATATGTTCTCGGCATTTCTGCGGAATTACCTTTCGTCAAAGTAGAAGAAACGCCATTTAAGTTTCTTCGTCTTTCATTCGGGATGGTGTGATTTAACAAATCTCTTTTCAGTTATCAGTGAATGCCATCCTTGGGATGTTACATCATATATATATATACTGCAGTTTGAAAGCAATATAAAATCGAATAACAGGATTAAGTGATGTATTTTTCCTTCTTATCAAATAATATCTATACTAATCTATCTCAGTCTGTTCGTATTTTGTCTGTATGTATGTATGCATCTCTCTCTCTCTCTCTCTCTATATATATATATATATATATATATATATATATATATATATATACGTGTGTGTGTTGACACCCTTATGTATGTATATTTAATGCGACCGATTCCATGAAAATTCCACTCGTAGAAAATACAACCCACAAAATTCCCACTCGAAAATTTTCTCCTAACAAATTGTAGATCTTTACGTATAAAATTTCATCCTAATCTCTAATCTTTTTTTTAACTGTTATTATTTACATTTAGTAAGCACACTTAATCCATTTGAGCCTCTAGATCTATTTGAAAAGTAAATTAGAATAACCCAGAATTTATACTGGAACAAAACTTCTGTATACGGTTAAAACTTGGGTAGGTATATAAAAATAGAAAGTAGCTATATAAAAATAGAAAGTAGCTATATGAAAATAGATAGTAGCTATATAAAAAATAGAAAGGGGCGTAAAACAAGGATGTTTCTTCTCTCTAGATTTATTCAATCTTTACAGCGAGACTATCCCCAGAGAGCTGGAATCACTTCTTCTGTCTGCTGTGTGCCTTCAGGACGTTAGCGATCATGGCTCTCCACAATTTCCTGTCCTTCGGAGCTCTTAATAAATTTTGTCTTTTTGTTATTTCTCTTAAACCTTTTTCCCGGCATACATTTACTCAAGCTCGTTCTTCTTTTTGTAGATGTTCTGTTCCTTCAGGATGTTGGTGATCATGGCTCTCCACAATATCCTCTACCTTGTAGTGCTTAAAAACTTTCTGTAATTTCTCCTAAGTCGTGTTCCGCCATCCATTTACTCAAGCTCACTAAGTAAGTTATGCGTTATTTTCTTCTGTTACTCTTACCTTCAATCTGTCTCATGAGTATCAGATCTTCCAAGCCCTTTTTCCACATTATGAGGACGTTTCAAATGTTTCTTCCTGGTGTTAAGTATGAGTTTCCTTTTTGGTTCCATTTTCTCTAAAACTTCGTCGTTGCTCTCATGTTCGCTCCATGGTATTCTCAGTATCCTTCTGTAGAATCACATTTCTGTTGTTAGTGGCGTGGAGATGGGCTTCATGGATATTCACCGAGCTCCCATAAAACTCTGTCCAGGCATACGCCCTGGAGTGGACACTGATGGGAGGATTCATCTTCCTTTCAAGGAAGTCTGCAAAAGAGATATGAGGGTGATGGATATGGACATCGAGAGGTGGGAAAATGTCACCAACGATCGCTCACGCTGGAGATGCGATTTACACCGGGAGCTGGGGCAATGGGGAGGGGAAACAGAGGCTTGTCCCCGGGGAGAAACGTGCTCGACGGAACGAAAACAACACGACGCCATCGCAGGAGAGCATCTTCCCATGCATTTGTTTCAATCGAGACTAATTTCCGTGTGACCCTGCACAGCCATAGGAGATGCTGCCCCGCCATAAGTAGCTAAGGGACAAACTGTTGCAGTTTTTTGGGTATTGTGTAACTAGGAGATTTATTATGAAAATACATAATTGTGGCACACGGGTATTATGTAACTAGTGAGCTAGCTCAAATGACTTGACTCACTTTATAGTCCACCAATAGAAGGTTAACCAATCAGAAGACGTAGAATATTCAATCCGTCGTGTATAAAGGCGGCCATTTTGTTTACTCTATCCGAATGTCCAGTGACGGCTTGTCAGGCGAAGAGGAACAGAAGGAAGAACTACGCTCTGCTACTTTACCGGGATATCAACTGCTAACCTGAACTACGCTTCCCTACTGTCTTCGAAATATTCACTGCTAACCTCTGGATTCTATACTCAAAGACGACCATCATCATGAACAACACAAACTCTTTGGTGGGCTGATCCATGATCTTTCGAGACTGATGGCAGTCAAATATATAAACAAACAAGATAGAGCGGTCGGAGAATTTGACTGATTCCTTTTTTACGGATTGTCAACCCTTTGAAGGTTATTTAAAGCCAGAAAATATTTTTAGATTAGTAAGAATTTTTATTTTTTTTGAAATAGTTTAGTGATACAAGACTTACTAATTAACCCATAGCTGGGGAGAAAAGAGGTAGAGTCATAACTTTCCCAATGGTATTAACGCGTAAGTGAATATAACGAACCTAATGGTAACTGGAAGTCGGTTCTCTGATTAACAATTCCGAGCCATTATCTATTAAAACATCCGCGCAAAAAGCTTACAGCGCCTAGAATTCCCAAGCGGTCACCAATCTAGTTACTGAACAGGCTCGACGTTGCTTAACTTGATTGTACGGTTTTTTAACGTGAATATGGCCGTAAGCCAAGAAAAAAGAAAAACCAGAAGAATATATAACAAAATCCTTGGTTTTATCTCAGGCACTATAATTTTAGAATTTCTCTCTGATCAAAACTTAACGTAAACCGACCTTAATAGCAAATAGATCATTTTAAATAAATGCTTTCGTAGGTGGAATTTCCTATGCGTAGAATTTTCCGTGAGTGAAATTTACTGGGGTGAATCTTACTTGTTTTGTCACCTCAGTGTATAAGACAATTAATAACCAGTAAAGATGACATAATTTAGAGAATGTAAATCGCGTCCGTGTAAAAGACGCACCATTATTTTGAAGATAAAGTTTAAAAAAAAATTAACTACAGTCGTATTTTAAAAATTTAATCTGATACTTTAAAAAATCGTATATATTGTGTAGAACAAAACGTCAAAATAAAAAAAAATACCATAATAAAGATTGTTGTTCTTTTGTTCAAGGCCTAAACCGTACTTTATAAACTACATCCGCGTCCTGAGTAAGACGATAAACTACGCTCAACAGCAAGGCCTCTGATCAGGAGGTTTTGCGGAGCGTGGAACCACCTTTTAATTGCTGGTGATCCAAGCTCTATCCTGACCCGGGTTGGTAGCACCTGTTAGGGTCCCAGCTATGGGCAAATAGTTAACCCCGAAACTGAGGTAAAAAGCATTATAAAAGTGTAAAAATAGGTTTTAATACTAGAAATACTTTATAAAAAATTATTACCAGAAATAAATTTAAAAAAAAAATAATCTATTACCAGCAATATATTTTTAAAAAAAATATTTCCAGCAATACATTTTTGAAAATAATATTACTAGATATACATATTTGAGGAAAAAAAATATTACCAAAAATAGATTTTTGACAAAACAAAATATTACCAGGAAAAAAGTTGTCAGCATTAAATAACCCATTGAGGTTGATATGCCGTAAAACAAACCAAACAAAACCAAACCAAACCAAACCAAACCCAAACTGGGGTCAAAACATTATGAAAGTTTAAAAATAGGTTTTAATACCAGCGATATATTTTTTGAGGAAAAAATATTACCAGCAATAAATTTTTGTAAAAAATATTACCAGCAATGAAAATGTTGTCGGTATTAAATAACACATTGAGGTTGATATGCCGTAAAACAAACCAAACCAAACCAAGGCCTAAAAATCTTCTTTGCTTTCATTATCACTGGTAAAGAAAACAGATATTCATCATCAGATTAATTATTATGAACAAAGATAATATCCTCGGCTCCATTTATTGATTGCTGATATCTTCTTCTTTATGTTCCATGTCCCTTCAGGAAGTTGTCGATCATAGCTCTCCACAATTTCCGATCCTTCGTACTCTTAATAAACAGTCTTTTTATTATTTCTCCTCAATCTTGACCCGACATCTATTTACTCAAGCTCACTAAGTGGGTTATGCTTGATTTCTCTGTCCCATTGTCCTTCAATCTGTCCTTTGAGTATCAGATTTTCCAAGCCCCTTTTCCTTATTATGTACCCTAGAAATTTCAACTCTCTCTTGATGTTATGTATAAGTTTTCTTTTTTTTCATCATTTTCTCTAAAACTTTGTCGTTGCTCACATATTCAGCCCCTGGCATCCTCGTATCTGTTCGCTTTATAGTTTACAGAAATAAACTTATTTCAAGGTTTTCATTTTAAGATTTGATGCTAATAGGTTTTACAAGCTAGAGTAGAAATTTGAGACTGTACAGAACAAAGAATATTTGACTATTATAATAAAAAAATATACATATATAGGCATTCACAGACAGACTGTTTCTCTGTATCACAACTCATCAGTGTGGCTGGACGTCCGATGGCTTCAAGCCGGGACCGAAACCCGACTGATTTGAAATCAGTCAGGTATCTTACCCTTAAGTCCTAGTCACACGACAGAAAGGAAGGGAATTTTAACGTTTTTTTTTCGATACGAAATACGCCAGCGACTCAGAGAACTCAATTCATACTTGAAGAGTAATGCTTAATAGCAGTAAGAGCCGCTATTTCTAAAGCATCCTTTTCCCTAGAGAGCTCAACCGGATTTCCGGGAGCAAAATTAAGTAGCATATCTTCATTCAAGCATGTTTGGTTGAATAACCTGGGCATATTATATCTATTTTTATTGTGATCTTCTCGAATTCTCTTATCGACTTCTTAATGTTGATATTAAATTCATTAAGGAAGGCGCCGTAGTTTTTTTTCTTTCCATTTTTATTTAAAAGCAGACCTGAAATACAGGATTTTTTTTTTAATAAACTGAATAATTCCGAAGGGTTTGAGATTGAACACATTTTGAGCTTGTCTTCGTTTTTAGTTAATTTTATTTTATTTATTTATCCCACGTGGTTATCGAAGTGATTGCAATTTCATAAAATCAAGAACAATAAATAGAGGAGCAAAAAGATCGATCAAGATATAAATAAGAATTACGAATATAAATAAGAATTCGAATATGAAACTGTCATGCGGAAAAAGTGGATGTCTAGTGATCTTTTTCATCTTTCTTTTTTTATCTGACCGTTGCTCTCTTTTTTTTAATTTTTTGGTTCATTTCTCCGCAGTTTTTCATTTTCGATTCTTCCCTTATTTTTTCTTTCCTCTTTTTTTCCTTTATCTTTCATCCTTCTTTTATTTTTCCTTCCTTCTTTCTTTATTTTCTTTTTTCATTTCTTCCTTCTTTCTTTATTTTTCCTTCCTTCTTTCTTTGTTTCCTTTTTTCTTCTTTCTTTATTTTTTTTACATTTTCTTTCCTTCTTTCTTTATTTCCTTTTCTTTCCTTCTTTCTTTCTTTTCCTTTCCTTCTTTCTTTCTTTCTTTTTCTTTCCTTCTTTATTTCTTTTTCCTTCTTTCCTTCTTTCTTTATTTTTCCTTCCTTCTTTCTTTTTTCTTTTTCCTTCTTTCTTTATTTATTTACATTTTCTTTCCTTCTTTCTTTATTTCCTTTTCTTTCCTTCTTTCTTTCTTTTCTTTCCTTCTTTCTTTCTTTTTCCTTCCTTTCTTTATTTCTTTTTCCTTCATTCTTTCCTTCTTTCTTTATTTTTCCTTCCTTCTTTCTTTATTTCTTTTTCCTTCTTTCTTTATTTATTTACATAATCCTTCCTACTTTTTTATTGCCTACTTCCTTCTTTCTTTATTTCCTTTTTTTACTTCTTTCTTCCTTCCTTTCTTTCTTTCTTTTTTTTCTTTCTTTCTTTCTTTATTTCCTTTTCCTACCTCCTTTCTTCTTTCTTTCTTTTTTCCTTCCTTCTTTCTTTATTTCTTATTGCGTTCTTTCTTTCATGATTTCTTTTTTCCTTCCTTCCTTTCCTTCTTTAATTTTTTCCTTCTTTTTTTTTATTTCCTAATTCTTTCCTTCTTTCTTTATTTCCCTTTTCCTACCTCCTTTCTTCTTTCTTTATTTTTTCCTTCCGTCTTTCTTTATTTTTTTTGTTATTTTTTTCTCTTTCTTTCTTTCCTTTTTACTTTGTTTTTTACTATTTTTCTTTCAATCTTTCTTTATTTATTTTTTACACTTTTTTCTTTATTTCTTTTTTACTATGTTTCATTTTTTTTTACATTCTTTCCCTTTTTACTACTCTTTCTTTCACATTTTTTGTCTGATGAACAACTAGATTTCCGAGCAGAAGAGTCGAGTAGAGACAATTATTGTCTTTTAGAGGCGGGCGACTTGAAGCGACGTCATGAAGAAGGAAGACGAGGCATCCTTTGTAGCTCTTAAAAAAGCTTGTTTTTTTCCTAAATCCGGTTCTGGTAACACTTACACAATCTCATTATTTAGGTTACACGATTTTTCCCCTCTGGGCCTTTTTTTGGCGCACAAAAAGTTTCTTTTCTTGTATTTCTCGCTTGTGAACTTCATTTTTGGCTTCTTGCATTCCACTTTGATTTTGACTTTCATAAATTTCAATGCAATATCGGTTGTTATCTTCTGTCTTCCTGTTCTTTTAGGGTTCACGCTCTTTAATAATGTTTTTGTCTTATTTTTGTTTCATCTTTTTTATCTATAACTCTGAGATGAGGTAATTGTAATTACTTGCATTATTTACATTATTAGGACTGTTATCCTTATCTTCATTGCCATCTTCACAACGTTTCAGGCATTGTACGCCCCGGCCTTCTTTAGGTGATTGGAATTTCGTCCCCTGGCGTAAATTGTTCTAGTTCCATGTGCAACACCTCTTTCGGATGTCTCAGTTATTTCCCTTTAACTGAACTCTCCAAGCTTTTGGTTCACCACTGCTGTGGTCTGGTACTGAACTCACAACTCTTTGGGTCTAGTCACTGGATCTAACTAGCATCTTTATCCATCTGTCCTTGGAGAGTTGAGTTAAATGGAAATAACTGAGACATCCGGTAATTCCAATCACCTGATGAAAGCCGGAGCGTACAACGGTCGAAACGTTGTGAATATGGCAATGAAGATGAGGATAACAGTCCGTTATAATGTAAATAATGCAAGTTATCTTTTTTTCTTTCACATTCAGTAACCTTTCACTTCTTAGTGTCTTAATCCCCTTCCTAAGTCTACTGCCATTTATAATCCATGATTCGTCCGTCCATTGAATATTTGTTCCATATCTGGTCTGTTGCTTCAAATATTCTCACGGCAATTGTTCGAATAAGCTTTCCATCTTGGTGCCTCGACCGCATAAATTTTAAGCGTAGCAGGCACGGTGGAGTAATGGATAGGGGCTCGGATTGAGGAATCAGAGAGCTGAGTTCGAATTTCGCTCGGATCCATTTCATTCACTTACGTGCTAATACCCTTAGTAAAGGTATGAATCCTCTTTTTCTCCGCCCCCCCCCGCACCAACTATGCGTAAATAGCAGGACAGATTGGGTTCTATAATATTTGGTACCAACCTGTTTAGGAGAAGGAAAAACTCTGAAATCAAAAGCGGCCTGAAACACCACTTCTTTTGTGGCTGTAGTACACATGCTGCCCCTGCGACCCTATGGGTCACGGGATGAAAATTAAAAAAACTACTAGATTGGCATTTAAGTCTCATGATTTTACTATAGCAACATCTAGATGTAACCGTTCAAGTCGAATAGCTTCTTTTTTCGCACGTCTTGTCTGTGGAATCCTTTTTTTCAGTTTCTTGGTTACTTGTCACCTACAATCTTCAAAAGTTTAAATGCAATGTCAGTCGGGTTTATGGTTGAAACACTGTTTCCTGTACAATCACCCTAGTTAAGCAACGTCGAGTTTTGGGCAGTACCTAGTTGGGTGACCGTTTAAGAATACTAGGTACTTGGATATGCAAGTGATTCCATGGATAATCTTTCGGAATTCTTAATCCTAGAGCCGAGTTTCAGTTCCAGTTGGCTTCTTTATATTCACAAACTAGCAGCATGACCCGCCGTTGACCGTGCTTGATTCAAAAATCGTACGACTTATAAAGCAATCGCTATCACTTGACTTAAAATATTTTTGTCCTTCCTTGCCTTTAAAAGAGTGCCCTTTGCCGTGCTGATGTTGCTACATGCCTTACTTCTTGCCTATCTCACACTGCGAATTTTTCTAAGCTCTATACTAAACATTAAATCTGTTACGAAAAAAGAACTAAACAAAATGAACGCAAAACGATCAGCTTTAAAAAAGGACTCGTAACTGGAAAAACCGAATAAAAAAAGAATGTTAACAACAAATACTTTTTCACACTCAACCAGAATCAGAATCAACGTTGAGTTTAAGCAAGCGAATGAGCCAATTGGAGTAAAGTGCCATGCAGTTTTAAATTTTTCCTACTTGTGACGAATGCAGCTGTCGAATTTTTTTTTGCATGCTAGCATGCTAGTTAACATTCGTGTCAGTCAGCTTTTGGCTCTCACGCTGGCCAATAGAATTTTCCTGCCTATTCGTGGCAGCCAGCTATAGGCTCTCACTCTGGCCAGTAGAAAATGGCCGCAAACTACATGAAAACTGCCGTAGAAGCATGAAAAAATCGATTATTTCATCTATCGATGGGAGTTGGGAAATGCAACGTCGGTCTTGGCCTTCCCGTTAACTTGGAGCATGTGCATGTAAATTTTGGTGCAAATCCGTCGAAAATTGCGGCCGTGCATTCGTTACACACACACACACACACACACACACACACACACACACACACACACACACACACACACACACACACATCCTTCCTTTTATAGATAGAGATACGTGGAAATTCCCTTCGCAAAATATGAATCTAACTTTTCTCTCTGCCCCAGTGATGGGTTAGTAAGTAAGACTTACATCACTACATACTTGTTATCCACCCCCGCATTCTTAAAATCCAACAACCTTGCTTTAAATAATAAGTGTTGATATATGGTAGAAAACCAATCAATCAGTCAATGAAATACTGATTGATTGTAAAGGCATGTCTTTTAGATTTATTCCCATTCTCTGGAATATAAATGTATAGAAACTGCTGCGATCAGAAAGTGAAGGATCAGTTTACATATTAATTTTAATATAGAATTGATCCCCCTATGTCATATACACATGATAATTTCTTGTTTGTTCATTAACTTCTGATTAGGTAAGAATCATTTTCTCTCCCCCAACTATGGGTTAATTAGCAAAAGTTGGATCACTGAACCATTATTATCTCAAAAAATTTCTTACAATTTAGAAATATTTTCTTGCTTTAAATAACTTTCAATGGGTTGATAAATCATAAAAAAATGAATCCATCAATCAAACAGTGTCAATCGCTATCTTTTGTCTTCTTGCAGCCTGTTCTTTTATGCCCTTTCTTCACAGTAATGTCTTCTCATTCTCTTTCACTCTCAATAACCTCTTGCGTCTGATTGGAATTATTGCTTGTGTTGTAATTATTTAAAATGTCTCTCTGAGTTACAGGCACTTTCTTATATATAGAACACTGGACATGTTCCAAATCTAATACTCTCTCTCTCTCTCTCCCTCTCTTTCTCTCTCTCTCTCTATATATATATATATATATATATATTTATATATGTATGAAAAGTGTATGCATAAAAATATATATATATATGCAATTTATTATATATATTATTTATATATTATATATGCGCGGTACTTAATTGAAAGCGATCAATATCAGAGATAGAGCTAACTTATTAAGTTGTATTGATAATAATATTGTTCGTTGAATAATATTATTCAGCAAACAAAGATAGAAAAACGGTCTGCGCGTTGACATCGCTACAAAAGGAAAAATATTCGGTACACAATCCAACATTGAATACGGCAATCAAATGCGTAGGTATGTACACAAAAGCACATATATACATATATATGCCAAATCCCATACAGTTCATATATGTTTATGTTTGTTTGTGTGAGCTCCGGTGGGTGAGCGTGTGTGCATGTGTGTGTGTCTGCGTACATCATTGGGTGAACGGGCGTGTATGTATGTTTGCGTAAGTGTGAGTGGCTTCACCACGACAATTTTTCCCCACTTCCATAAAAAACACCAATACACGCAATCCTACATAAATCCAAATTTAAAAAAAAAAAATGATCAGTTTGTCTGACGATCGCAAAAGCGTGGAACCCCGGGTCACAGACTCACATCAATCCATTTATAATCTGGCTTTCATCTTCAAAGTTCATTCAAGAACCATCAAGAGAACGTTTAATGAATTTTAAAAAGAGAGAACAGTGGAGAGGAAAACTGAATCAGGGGGTCACAACAACAGGAATAAGCATTTCAACTTAGAGCTGAATACATTAATAAAGAAACGTTCAGCAGTGTTATAAAGACCTCGAGACTTCCAGTAAGATATCTTTAATCATTTCTAATATTCAACAGTTCAAAGCTTAATCTAACACTTGGACAATTTTACTGAGACACACTGAATATATTATATATATATGCACACCCACAGACACTTATATATATATATATATTTATTAAAGACATTTTTATGTTTAACGTTCTTTTTATAGATACAAGTATTTAAGTAAATGCTCTGTTTATAATAAATTAAATAACAATTACCGGCCTGAATGTCCGAGAAATTTTCATAGAAAATATTCGTCCTTTGACAGGATTCGAACCTGCATCCTATACGCTTACGTGCCTTGACCGCTCGGCCACAAAGGATCGTTCGGTTGGAAAGGTCGAATTTACTGCTTATAAACTTCAATCTTCCATGAATCTCGTACATTCATAACTGCTCATGGCGTATCAAATGTAAACAATACTTGTATCTATAAAAAGAACGTTAAACTTAAAAAATGTCTGTAATAAATAAATTGTCGGACTTTGTCCATTTCTTAATATATATATATATATATATATATATATATATATATATATATATATATATATATATATATATATAAAAAAAAAAGAACAGTAAGATATATAATCCGGTGTTCTTATAGATATTTTTTACAAAACATGGTCAGAACTGTGTAGCGAAAAAAAAAAAAATTCAAATCAATTAATTTATATATATATATATATATATATATATATATATATATATGTGTGTGTGTGTGTGTGTGTGTGTGTGTGTGTCAATCCAACAGATGAGTTTTTGAATCAGCGCAGCCATAAGAGTTGTATTTTTATTAAAATCAGCCATAATATCGAAGTATAACACTCAGGAAGAATTATTTGTATCCAAGTGTACATCCTTTCCTGATGTCAGTGAATGAATTTCCAAGCTCCGAAAGTGTTGATTGTATTATCTGACTTTAGCTATTAAAAGAGGATAGACAGTAAACATTTGGCCCTTTTATTTCTCATCTGTCAAGAGCACGTGTCTTGATTCCGTTCAAACTAATGATTATTTGTTTGAAAGATTAATTCGCATGGCTATCGACAAATCTCGGGTGTTAATGCATCTCTGTCTGGCCGAGAACCTAATTTTGGATTTTATAGGTTTGGAGTGACGAAACATTCTGTACGCGATAAACTTCAGATGTCTAAAACCCACATGGCATCAACATGCCTTTTTATTGTTACATACACGTTTTGTTATATTTTCTTCTTTATATAAACTCAGGAAAGACATGTACGCAGTAACATTTATTCGTGTGTGTATTTTTAAACAGTTATTTTCAGTCATCACAAAAACATATATGTATACAAAACGTTTTCAAATACTTCACTGATTACTGTTTTACAACCAGTAGTATTAGTTTTAAGCTATTTGAATTCCCTCGATGAAATATTGTAAATTATTTTAATTTTTGATTAGTATTTTTTCACTTTATTTCTCTTGCTTTTCCACTAAGTAGTAAAATTTTAAGTTGTCTGAATTTCGGAGATGAAGAATTGTCAATTATTATTCATTTTCGACTAGTACTTTCATTTTATTTCGTAGATAAAGTATTCTTGATTATTATTAATTTTTGACTAATATTTCTTTCATTTTATTTCACTTGTTTCTACACCAAGTTGAATTGTTGCTGCTGAAATGCACATTATTTAAATTATATAGTCACACACACACATACATACATACATACATACATACATACATACATATATATATATATATATATATATATATATATATATATATATATATATATGCATTTACATATATGTATATACCTATCTGATAATGTGAAAAGTCATAGGTATAAACATGGGTGACAAAAAGTGTGATCAATCTATTTATTAAATCTTAATCAATCAGCATATGAAGATAGTTTTGTCTAATGTCCGATATTGGATAAGGAACTTAAAAATAAAATATTTCCTATATGTCTACAGATTCGATAGTTTGAATGTTGGTAGTAATGATTTTTGTTCTATAATTTTCTAGATTTTATTTTAGGAAAATGTTTCATATAGAGTATGTTTTTAATAATATTTAAGACACTTTATTATCAAGATCGAATCGGTATTAACTGGATAAACTTTCGTTCGGTAGGCGTTAGTGTAATAAATATTGTAGGATTTTGGTTAGAATTACTGATTTAAAAAAAGAGTTAAAAAGATTGTATTTTCCATCGAAAAACAAATTATCTATCTATCTATCTATCTATCTATCTATCTATCTATCTATCTATCTATTCTTCCAAATAGATCTGAACTCATTCCTTGAGATGTACTAACAGTAAGGTTTCTGTAAGCAAATCGAATAATTCCTTTTCGTTTCTTTCGAAAAAGAAAAAACAGAAGACTGTTAACGAACGGATGCGATGAGCAAAGAGACACATTTTCGCCAAACAATCTACCAATTAAAATTTTCAACAACAAGTGAGGTAAGACAAAAGGTCATTGATGAATAAGAAAGAAATAAGGGGTTGGGTCGGGGTTAAAAAGTGAAGAACACAAGAAAGGTATCCGAATTCTCTGAATACCTATTCAAGCTTCTTCGCGGAATACGAATGAAAAAACCGGATGGCATCAACACTTGCTATAATCATTGCTATTTACAACACTAATCATAGTCTGAAACAAGGCCCCAAATAAAGAGCACGTAATAAGAATCGAGCAGATCGTAACACATGAAATATGTCAACATCTATAACCTTCTCATAAATATATTTAAGTAATTATTATTATTATTAATAATAATAACAATCATCATCAACATCATCGTCATCATCACCATCATCATCACTAGTAATAATTTGGCTAGCCAATTTTTGAATAAAAAACCTATCTAGCATCCACCAAGACCTCGCAAGGTCATACAATGATATAATCATAAAACCAGAAAAATACCCCAAATGTCTCACGTGGAGCGTAACAAACCTACTCATAAAAAAGAGACGCAGAATCTGAAGAACTATAGGCCCATCACCTGCCTACAAGCAATGTACAATATCCTCACTTCTATCATAACCGAGAGGACATACAACTTGCTTGAGAGAAACAATTTACTCGCAACAGAATAGAAGTGATGTAAAAGAGGAAATAACGGGTGCGAGAAACCAACTAATTATCAATAAAACAGTATTGGAAGAGATGAAAAAACGGAAAATAAAATTATCGATAGCATGGATCGACTACAGAAAAGCGTTTGGCAGTGTACTATATTCATGGATAAAGAAGAGCTTCAAAATATACAGCGTATGCCCCACAACGGTTAAATTCATAGAGGGGAGAGAGCTAGAAAAACTGGAAGACTACACTAAACCTAAACCATACAGACGAGTCAGTAACATCGAAACCAATCAACATCAAAAATGGTATGTTTGAAGGGGATACATTGTCACTACTACTATTCTGCCTTGTATTAGCGCCACTCAGCTGCCTACTGAACAACAGTAGCTACGCATACAAGTCACAGAATGGCAAACTGAATCATTTATTCTATATTGAGGATCTTAAAACGTTTGCCAAGGAGAACAATCAACAAGAAAAAAAATAGCTCCCCATTGTCAAAACCTTCAGCGAAGACATCGTGATGGTGTTCGGAATCGACAAATATACCAAAGACATCGGTAAACTAATGAAAACTCCAGATTTAGACCTTGATATCAACAACAAAATTAAAGAACTAGATCAAGATGGTACATGCAAATAATTAGGAACTCATGAAAGAGACGGAATACAACATTTGATTATGAAGAAAAAGATCCGAAAAGAATAAAGCCGTGCAGCCTCGCGTCCATTTCCATTCTCGCGGCCCTATGTACAAATCATATCATATATACAGGATGTATAAAAATAATTTTACAAACTTTAGGACAGGTTCCTCACACTAAACAAGGAAAAAGACCATGAACATATGTCTGCAAATCTTTCGTTTTTGAGTTATTTTTTTGCTCACCGCCGTAAAGTTGCTTCCCTGTGTCTTTTCTATAAATATTTTCATGGCAACTGTTCTGACGAGCTTTCCTTAATGATATTGTTGTTTTATTCCCCCCCCCCCAGACAACAAATTGTAAATATGGGGACTAGTTAGTATTTTCATAGAGACAAAGAGGTATTATGGTGATTGTAGTAAGTAAGGTTACGTATGAATGTGTTGTTTTGGTGTAAAGAAATATTGTTCGTACGAGTGGGTCAGTGTTTGCGGCTAGCTAAGTTATAGTTAAGACAGAAGAAGACCGTCCTTTCCCCAATCCCCTTTTCGGCCTTGTGCCACATTTCTGTATTGTACAGAATAAATATCGCTTTCCTCAATGATATCTAGACTTTATGGATGTAAGCGCACTACTAGATTGGCGGCAAGGTCTCATCATTTTACTTTTGATATGGCTAGATGTAACCGTAAGTTCTATGCTAAGAGTTTCTTCTGTCGCACTTCTCGCCTGTGGAACTCTCTCAACTTCTTGCCTCCCAGTCAACTTTGATCGTCAAAAACTTAAATCGTTGTCTCCTGTCTTCTTAATTTTTATTTTTTTTTATTCTCTTTCCTTAATAGTTTTTTTCTCATATTGTCTAACATTCAGTAACTGCTTGCATCTTAGTAGCCTTATTGCCTTCGTGTGAAACGATTAAAAAAATAAGTGCATCTGAGTATAAAAGAAAATAACCTTGGGGAAGAAAAAAATCTCTTCTAAAAAGTAAAATTGTATCAATTGTTATATCAAAAATAAAAATTCTTACAATCTAAAAATATTTTCTGGATATAGATGGAAAGGAAATGGTTGATAGACCGTAGAAAACGAATCATTAACTATGTCATGCTCATGTTTGCGAAAGTACATATTTTCCCCGATATGTACCTCTCAGTGTCTATACATGTTTGCTTCGCTCTGTATGTTTCATGCCTTTTTGGAAATTGGAAGGATGTGGCTCTCCCCATATTCCTGTTTATATTAGAGGTAGTTTCTACTTTACGCCTCTTTACGATCTTTCTTCATCTTCGGAACACTCGCTTCTCTATCCATCCTGGGTATGACGATAGACTACGTTCGGCAGCAAGGCTTCTGGTCGGGAGATTTTGAGGCGCGTGGAACCACCTCCCAATTGCTACTGTTCGCAGGTCCACACTGGGGTCAAAACATCAAAATATAAAAATATAAAAAAAAAAAATATAAAAAATAAATAAAAAATATAAAAATACATTAGGGAAAAATGCCAGTATTACAATATTTTCGTAGTAAATATATATATATATATATATATATATATATAAAATATATATGAAAAAATACATTAATTTAAAAAATATATTTTTTGAAAAAATAAAAAAACAATAAAAAACAAAACAAATTACCAAAGTGCATCTGAGTATAAAAATACCACATTTTCATAGTAAAAAAATAATAAAAAAAATACCAGAAATACATTATTGGGAAAAAACATTTATCAGAAATACATTTTTTGAAAAAAACAAAAACAACAAAACAAATTACCAAAGTGCATCTGAGTACAAAAGGAAATACGTACTTGCACAGAAAATTACCCGATTATTTGGATGTATACAAGGACTCTTTGTTTAAGTTAGGCGTGTCAAGTTGTTTTGCATGCAGTTGAACTGTCAATTAGGTTCCTAGAATTTCTGCTTTCATTTTGTCTCTAGTGCAAAAAAACCCGACACCGGTTCAAATCAGTTGTATCATCAAACAGGAGAAACTCGATACGTGGCGCATTCTGTTCGAGTTCAAACCTGAAGATGAATGTCTTTGCAAGCTGTTCAACACATTAGTCTTAATGTGAATCTGTTTACTCGGATATGTGGGCAGTAATTCACTTTTTTCCTAAAATTATGTTAGCGTGTACATATCTACGCATGTGTGCGTATTAGTTTATTGAAATCCATTCACACGAACACAAACATAAACGAGGGTGCAATCTATATGTTCATATGAAGGAAGACTGAAAAGTACACAGGCTGACTATGGCGAAGTTATGCTAGAACTGTGAAATCTAGCATGGAGTAATTTCAAATCTTCTTATCAATAACTGTATTGTTTATTTCCAGGTAAACTGACATCTGACTGTTCACATCAGACATCCAAAGTAACTAGTAGCGACGTAATTTAGTATACTATTTACATTGCTCGGATTATCATCCTCGTCTTTGTTGCCATATTTATCACAACGTTTCGGCCGTTGTACGCTCTGGCCTTCTTCAGGTGGTTGGAATGTCGAACTGAACCCTTCATTTCGCTCGCTAGGGTAGACTGTTCTAGTTCCACGTGCCATGTTTAATGGATGTCAGTTATCAGTTATCTCTTGTTAATTCCCCTCTCGAAGTTCGCCACCGCCTTAACCAGGTACTTTGGGTCCTGTTACTGGATCTAACTAACGCCTTTATCCACTGTGCTATGTGTCCTTGATGACATCTGTGTATGAATTTCTGGGTATTATAAACCTAAATTATTCTGCCAACTATTTTTACCAGTGCTCATATTGCAATTTTTGCTGTTCTCATTGTATTTTTTTTAACAAAGCTCATATTACAATTTTCGTTGTTATTATTACATTTCTCTGGCACTTCTTATTACTGGTTCCCATACTGTATTCATTTCTATGCTTGGTTGGCTAAGAAGATTTGTCAGTTCGACATTCCAACCACCTGAAGAAGGCCGGAGCGTACAACGTCCAAAACGTTGTGATAAATATGGCAACAAAGATGAGGATGATAGTCTGAGAAATGTAAATAGTGTACATAATACCTCATCTCAGAAATATAGACAGATAATTTAGTATTGTGGTGTTATGAAATACCTACAGAAAAAAAGATTAGACTCCCAAGGACATTCATTCTGAGGGGTTGCTACAGTAGGGAATGGCGCTACAACTTTATCAACAGTGAAAAAGTGGGAAGCATAATTTAGGAGGGGAAGGAATAGTCTTGAAGATGTTCCAACTCACAACTCACAACACCGAGCAAAACATTGATCCTTTTTTCAGCCACATAATGATGGACGACAGGTGATCGACTATAAATCAAATAGGTAATGCTATTAGCATATCCTGTGAGAGAGTTGAGGATATTGTGAACACTTAACTTGACCTGATGAAATTTTTTACTCGATGGATTCCACGTCTTCTAACACTTTATTAAAGACGTACAGGCTGAGCAGATCACGGACACATCTGATATTGTTTGAGGCAAATCCAGCAGGTATCCTTTGACCTTTCCTAACCCAGTGTTGGGTTTATCACTTTAAACCAAAGACAAAAGCAACAATCCATGCAGAGGAAACAAACCCTCTCTCTCTCTCACACTCTCTCTTTCTATCTATCTATCTATCTATCTATCTATCTATCTATCTATCTATCTATTATATGGTTTAATATAGTTTATATATATATATATATATATATATATATATATATATATATATATATATATCAATTATATGGTGCAGTTTAATTAATATTACAATGAATCATTCATACAAAAAGTAAATTCGTAAATTTAATGCGATGAAATGGCGAATTCACTTCGCTAACTAAATTTTAAAAATGCTTTAACCCGCTAACCACTAAATGAATGCTATGATCCTTGTTTTTTTAAAATTATACATTGTATTAGGTCTTCCTTAAATATGCAAGTACTTTCGACAGGTTCTCCGGTCATCATCAGGCATGGAAACTATTTTCTTTTTCGTAAAATCCAGGTACCACCCGAGACAAAAAAATATAATGAAAATAGAAATATTTTTTGAAGCGTGTTATTGATAACAGACACAAACTCGTGGAGCGTGCAGTCGCAACGCTAAGGTTGAATTTTTGAAAAATATTTCCATTTGCATTACATTTTTGCAATGCATTTCCCACAGACGGAACATGGCAAACCTTTCGCTGCTCTATCTCCATTTCTGTGGAATGTATTCAGACGAACCACATTCCTTCGTTCCACCCGTCCTATCCTTCACGGCTAAGACTCGCCATACCACGCCCATTGTATCGAACTACGCTCCTCCCATGAATATTCCATTAGTGAGATGTAAGTTCCATTCAAGCAGCTTTTTTTCCCCACGAACAGCTGGTTTGTAGAAACGATTCCCAAGAGGATGCTTTCCCAGTCACTACACACTTAACCTGTTCAAGTCAGGTAACCGTTATCTTCCACACTTATCCTCTATAAGCCTCCATCTCAAGTTGCTCTGTGGTTTTGACAAGGCCTAACATCATTATAAAAAAAAATCGTTGGTGTAGAAAATCCCATCAACCTAAAACGCACCATTAGGGAAATGGGGTTTTGTTTTCTTGCGAACCAGACAAAATAAATGAATTTCTCTCCATATTCAGCAGTGGTGTAAGGTGATACAAATATCTAGCTTAGGATTGGCGCCATTACCAAGATTTTGCAAATGGCGGAAGTTGATTTTATATTTAGAAAGCAAAGGTATGTAGGCATAGAAGGGAGTCGGAAAAGTGTTACTGTGTTAAAAGAGGGCAGGAATTATGTACATAGGAACATCATATTCTGCTTATCTTACACTTATACACAACACACACACAGACACTCATATATATATATATATATATTACTTAATTATGATTATCTCAAATCCTCCTAATAATTTCTATCACTTGTATATCCTAGCATGAACCAGTTTCTAATGATCTGGATGGAGCGGCTTGGGGATAGTAGTCGTTGGGGCACATTCCTATGGGGAAGGTAAAGTCAGATGATTTCCACCATGCTATATCGAGTCTGATTCGTTACTTCTTCGTCATACCAACTGTATGTTTGTCTCATATTGTGATGGTCCGGGTTTCAATTCTCGGTAATGGATGCGCACTCCCGATGAGTCCCAAATATATAGCACTTTCTTTCTGCATTCTGTTGAGTTACTTCTAGACTCGATGAATTACTTAAGTATGATATATATATATATATATATATATATATATATATATATATATGGTTTGATTTGTTTTATGGTGTATCAAACACAATGGGTCTTTTAATGCCGACAACATTTTTTTCCTGGTAATATTTTCGTTTTGTCAAAAATCTATTTCTGGTTTATATTTTTTCCTCAAAATTGTATAGCTGGTAATATTATTTTCAAAAACGTATTGCTGGTAATAGATTTTTTCCTTCAAAAATTTATTTCTGGCAATAATTTTTTACAAAGTATTTCTGCTATTAAAACCTGTTTTTACATTTTCATAATGCTTTTTACCTCAGTTTCAGGGTTAACTATTTGCCCATAGCTGGGACCCTAACAGGTGCTACCACCCCGGGTCAGGGTGGACCTGGGAACACCAGCAATTAAGAGGTGGTTCCACGCTCCTCAAAGACTCCTGATAAGAGGCCTTGCTATTGTAGGATGTAGTTTATCGTCATACCCAGACCAGAATATATATATATATATATATATATATATAATTATTTATTTAAAAGTATAACATAAATATATTATAAAATCACTACAAAAATAGCCATTTTGTTTCAACACTTCCGGTGTCCTATCAAGTGATGATGTTGAATGTAAAATAAATGCATTTAAAAGTTTCAAATTAATTTACGATCTTTCGCAAGGGGAAAACGCTGTTACAAAAGCTAACGAAGGAAGGTTAATTAATTTGAAACTTTTAAAACCATTTATTTTACATTCAACATCATCACTTGATAGGACACCGAAGGTGTTGAAACAAAATAGCTATTTTTGTAGTGATTTTATAACATATTTATGTTATAATTTTAAATAATAATTATATCTGCTCTACTCTGTATTGAGCACTCTTTTAAGAATAGTAATTGTTGGTTATTGGAATTTATTCGTATATACAACCAATCATATATATATATATATATATATATATATATATATATGTGTGTGTGTGTGTGTGTGTGTGTGTGTGTGTGGAGATGATAGGTTGGTGAAAGAAATTCCAAAGACAAAAGAAAATAACAAAAATAATATGATAAGCCGAATCATAATCATTTTATATTAGTAGGTTTTTTTGACCAAATGATGAGAAAGATTTTAAAAATCGGAATTTTTGTACACGTCTGTGTCATTTATCAACGAGACGAGAAATAAAAAATAAAGTGGGGCTTTCTTTTTCGGAGAAATTTATTTTTTTTCCCAATGTTCTATAGATCTGATAATTTGGGGCTAGTTGTTTGCTACGATTAGGGTTGTAGGGGGTGGCTCAACTAAACAACTCAACTAAATAAATAGTCAAACCAACACACGTGGTCTGAAGATTGTGTTGAATACATTAAGTAAATAACTAATACGTAGAAACCACAGCTAAGTAAATTTAATATAATAATCAACAGTGAATAAGTAATGAATAAATACAAAATACACTACATAATCAATAATAGGTAATGAGGCAAAGTTAAACCATATAATATAATAGCTACTAATAGCCGTATTTTTTTATCTTAAGTCCTGTTCTTTTATTGTTTTCTCTCTTTAATAATGATATTATTTTTTCATATTCTTTCACACCCAGTATTCCCACTGCGTCTTAGCGGCTATATTGCGTTGCATAGGGTGAAATGACAAAAACACATCCACGTTGGTGAGTACATATCGGTATCCCGGAATTATTTCCACTCAATAGACTTTAGAATAATTGGAAATATAAACGTTACTGCTTGTCCAGTAACCGGTAGAATAATACAGGGTGTGGCAAAAATATCTCCCACAGATACCTCCCACATGATGGCAATTGATTAGCTAGGTGAAGACATCATTAGTAGCGGTTTTACCATTATGTAGGAGGCATATGTTGGAAATATTTCCGCTACATTCTGTACAATAAATCGGAAATACTTGACCTTGCAACAAATAATGCACCGTTGACCAGTATAAATAATCCAGTAACACTTTTGGGTCCTGTCCTAGGACACATGGCACAGTGGATAAAGGCGTTAGTTAGACAGGACCCAAAGAGTGTGAGTTCAATACCCGGTTAAGGAAGTGGAGAACTTGGAGAGGGGAATTAACAGGAGATAATTGATAACTGACATCCATTAAATATGACACGTGGAACTAGAACAGTTTACCCCAGTGAGCGAAATAAAGGGTTCAGTTCGACATTCCAACCACCTGAAGAAGTCCGGACCGTACAACGGCCGAAATGTTGTAATAAATATGGCGACAAAGATGAGGACAATAGTTCAAATAATGTAAATAATGTACATAATACCTCATCTGAGCAATATAGACAGATTCTACGCCGTAATTTACGTTAATTTGTGAAAAGTCGAGACAATTCTTACGCGAAAAAAATAAATTGTTTTTCAAATCAATCGGTTTTCGAAAAAGTTCTTGGAACGAATTAAATTGGAGAACCGTGACTGGCCTTTAATGCTAATTCCTCATCGCAGATATTTAGACGTAAAGACAGAAGACTGTCGTCCTGGATGGAGATGGGAATAGTATTTGACTAATGGTAAACCAACGTTAATTGTTTATGATTTAATTTGGAGCGTGTTTGTGTTAATCCTCATAATCTAACGAGATTAGCGTATTATGTTTTAGATCCCACCACCTGAGGGCTCAAGTAATTAGGATGTTTTTTAATCAGGTGAACTTTGTCTGAATCTTTATATCCTGCACCTGTTCTTTTCTTTTATCTTTTTTATTTTCTCTGTTCCGGTGCCTGGTGGCATTCTCTGAAATTCCCATGACTCTGAATACGAGAAGCATTCCACAACGAACCATTTCTAGATTTAAAAAAACTCCTTCTTAGTAATCTAGGTTCCATTTCTCTTATATGTTTCACAAATTGTCTAAATTATTTAGCTAGTGTTAGATTCGAACCTGTGGTATCTGAAACACTCTATGTGAACTATTGCCGAAGTTTGTAAATAGTTGAAAATAAGCATGTGGCTGAGCAAGAGATCAAACTAAATGAAAGATATTCGTCACTCGAGAGAGGAAATATAACTACAAGGGTCGTTCAAAAAGTTCTAAGCCTCACCCAGAAGGAGTTGGAGAAACAAGGCAGTTTTCACTAGATTTCAATATAGACCCCTTAACATCAGTACACTGGGTCCAACGATGTTTACGAGGGCCATACGAAAAGTTTTAAGCCTCACAAAGAAGGATTTGGAGAAAGAAGATAGTTTTCACTAGATTTCAATATAGTTCCCTTGATATCAGCACTCTTAGTCCAACGATGTTTACGAGGGTCGTTCAAAAAGTTCTATGCCTCACCCAGAAAGAATTATAGAAAAAAAGGCAGTTTTCACTAGATTTCAATATAGACCACTTTACGTTCAAAAAGTTCTAAGCTTCACGCAGGAGTTGGGGAAACAAGACAGTCTTTTACTATTTTTAATATAGTCCCCCTTGACAACTGCTCACTTGGTCCAACGATA